AAATTTACAACTATCTAAGTGGAAATCGGGAGAAGCTCTAGTTTTGGCAGCTCTTCCAAACTCAACTAATAATAATAACACAATCTATGTACAACTTAGAACCACAGAGTCCAAACATAAACCTTAATTAACTATTTAATTAAAACAGAAGTTATAATTAAATTCACAGATTGTGATAAATTTCTTGAACTGCAATCAACTAATCTTATCGAAACTGATATATAAAAATATATAATTATGAATGAAAACCAGCGAATTCTCTCCCAATCCAGGAAACATAATTTTTTTTTTTCGTTTTTTGGAAACATTAATTTATTGTAATATAAGAAAGAAAATTAAACATGCTCACACGTCACAACTTAAATTAATTATTTTATTCTCATTTGTTACTCATATAAATAATCCTAAAATAAATTCTACGTGGTAAACGAACGAGCCCACAGGTGGTATAACAAACAGGAAATTCGACCATGTGTATGCCGAAGCGATCCCAATCCAAACGTTGCTCATCCGACCCCCGTTGGCAGAGGCAACGGGGATCCTCTAATGAGGCGGTGAGTCAACTCACATCAGACTTAATGAAATGATTGACAAGACAACACCCTGCCAGTGCCGTCTCTACACCTGCGCAGTCTCTACACCTCCAGATGCGAAGTTACGAGGAAAATCCAAGCAAATCCAACTGTAAATCTCCATTTTCGACTTGTTTTCCATCGATTTCTTCATCGTGTCACGACAAATAACTGAACTGCTTCCATTTTGCTATCCAAAGCAATTTGTCCATTAAGGCCAACTATTTGAATTCTTCCGCTGCCTCTAATTACATAAATCATTTGATAAGATGAATCATTTGTGAATAATGGGCCCAAAACCGAATCATCATCTAGTTTAACAAGATTGGCACTGAGTTCAAAAGGAGATTTCTCAGCAGCACTGAATTTGAATGATGAAAAGTCTTTATCAAGATTGACAGCAAATTTCTAGGAAGCCTTAATGGATGGCTCAGACACTTCTGTTTCCTTATGATATCAGACATATATTGGTTCAACCATTGTCGTGGATCGTGAATTGATGAATTCTTGGAGGACCATTTTGTTTGGTAGATTGGAATAGCGAAAAGAATTCATATTCACGAATTTATTGAGAAAAAGATTTAGTGTACCCATGGTGTTTGTAGAATGTCATCTAAGAAGAATACAATGTGAACTCGTGTCACTTTTACGCTTCTGTCACTTTTTTAAGTTTATGTCACTTTTTTTTAAATTGGCATGAGAGGATTCTAAATGAAAGAGATCTTTAAATAAGTATCTCACTGGAAAAAAAAAGATAATAACCTTAAAAATCTTTTGTTTATCACACAAATCAGTATACTACGACTTTTTTTAAAATTTATATCACTTTTTTTTTAGTTTGTCACTTTTTTATATTTATTTTCGCCAATAAATCCGTTGAGGTTCATAAAGAAAGTGAGATGTTTTGGAAGTGCTACGAAAATGTTTAACTTGGACTTTTAGAAAAGTAACAAGATATTTTGTCATGCCTCAACTGGGCAAATAATAACTCAATTGTGTTACATNTCTATTAAAAAAAGTGACAATTAATTTTACACTGTATTTTTTACTTTCAAAATATGTTTCATATGATTTTTCAAAACACCCTTAATTTTAAAGGTATTTTTGTAAGTTCCCCTTTTTCATTTTAATTGGATAAAAATGTGGCCCAATCGGGGGCAAAGTACAAGAGGAAGGTAATTAAGTAGCTTTAGCTCTAAATTTGCATCAAGAGACTAGATGAAGAAAAACTAATACAATGGTATCCATACTTAGAAAAATAAGGAAATATTTTGTACGCAATATTGCACACTACATACTAGATTTTAAATATTTTTTCTTCTTTACTAATGAGTAACATTGTATTATCAAACACAACATTTGCGAGAAAATAAAGGGATATCATATATTCACACACACATCATATTTTGTCATAAAAATGCATTCCACAAAATGCTTCAAGAGAAAACAAGTTGTGCATTACAATATTAAAGATTGTATTAATTGAACAATTGCAAAAGATAGGAGGAATTCGTGGTAGAAAGTGAAATAAAAATAAAAAGATAAGGGCAAATTATATGCAAAAGAAGAAAGAAATGTATAAATTGGAGAGTGTCTCCAACATCTATGCTTTCATATGAAATCAACTCAGTATTTCCTTAAAAATCGAACACAAGAAGAAATATTCCTCAGTATTTTCTTCACAAGAATCGAAGATCAAATAGAGCTTAGAGATTCAAACTGAAAAAGTGAATCCCCTTGAGATGACAAAGCTAATCCTAAAACTCAAAAGATAGCCTACTTCAAACATTTTGCTTGTAATTTAATAGTAAAAGTGCAGTGAAAGATAAAAACATTACATTTGCAATTAAGCCTACATACCAGATCGAAAACTAGACAGATGGCAAAGAAAGACAAATACCAAAGTCTAAAAACTCAAAAAAAGTCGAGAGATGAACAAATGACACACACCTGAAAACTTATGAGCCAAAGTTGAAGCCACCAGAAGGAACGCTTGGCTGACTATTTCCAAAGTTGAAACCCTGGTCATTCCCATCTACGCCATCTGCAACATTTTGCTCCTCATCTTCCTCAGTCCAGTATTTTTCTAATATCTTCACAACCTTCTCATATATTTCATTGTTGTCATGAGTCTGGAGAGTCTCTATTTTGTCCACCCCTTCACAATCATCAACCATTTGTGCATATATATTGATTCCGCCATTCAAGCCATTTTCTTTATCAGTCTCCCCCACCTTCAAGATGTTTTCAAGCCCCTCCAAGCACACAGTGACAATCCTCGGGTCTGGACAACTTAAGAGATCACATAGTGGCTTAATGCAACCTTGGTTCGCCAAGAACCTGAAAGGGTAAACGATGTCTGAAATCAAATTTTGAACAAAATCATCCATTATTTTACTACATAGCTGGGTGCACTCCAATCATAAATTCGTAATTAGGGTAAAAAACAAAATCATTTTGAGGGGCTTTTGAATTAAATTGCTATTGCGTTTATATATTTGGAGAAGCAACCAAGTGATCAAAGAAGAATCAGTCGATTGCAATTTTTCACCTCTGGCGAAGATTTGAGCAAGGAAAGAGTGGGTTTAAGGAACTGGATCAGTAATATATGGAGATGATATTAGTAGAAGCGTGTGGTGTTGGTAACATGTCAGCTGCACGTGAGGCAGGTGATGGGTGGTGGCACATAAACATTATAATGGCAGTCTTTAAAATAAGAGGCTGACAGGAGAGTAGAGGGGCTCAGGAACACGTGACGAGAGAGAGAGAGAGAGAGAGAGCTTTATAATCAAGAAAGTAGACGTCAACGGCTCACTATGAATAATTAAAAACGAGAAGACAGAGACCGCCACCACCCCCAGGGCATGGCACCCAAAATAAACAGAAGAAAAAAAGAAAAATAATTCCACTCATCATCACACTAGGATCACAAATGGGCGCCTAAATCCAAAATAATACATAAAAGCACAGTGGACAAACAGACAATGCAGAAATAACGAGGGAATAATTAACCCTGTCAAATGAATGAAGTAAATAATGACATAAACTCAGAACAATTTCAGAAGTTCTCCCTTCATTCAACAGCCAGAGTTTGATACACATCGTATCTCAGGGAAATGGGGAAATGTGAGGAGATGTTTCAGGCCTTCTTGGGAATTCTGAGAGCATATGTTCTCTGCATGTCCGTTCATTTATGTCTCAGTGTATGTATTAATGTGCCAGATGAAATTCACTTTTCTCTCTTTGGAAACTATTAGAAGCAGGCCTTGTTTCAGTTTCCTAATATGTCCCTGATGTGTAAGGGCACTCCTGCGTTCTTGTAAATTGTTAGATTTATAGTGGAATATTAGGTCATTTCAGTTCCTTTTATTGTCAAAAGGTCCCACCAAGTACTTCTTGGCTAAAATTTCCTCTTGCAATTGCTACATCATCAATTAGATACTCTCTCTCTCTCTCTCTCTCTCTCTCCCTCTCCCCCCTCCCTCCCTCCCTCAGTGTGTGTGTGTGTGTGTGTGTGTTAGTGGGCGTGCGCCGTCAGATGATTTAACATAGGATCCTAAGAAGTAGCAGAACTGTTCCAAGCTACTGAGATCCTAGCTCAATGCTTGACTAAAGACAACAGAAAAAGGAAGTCATAAAACAGAGCCAAGAAAATAGAAGAAAATGCTGGAAGCAACCATAGCGGAGAGCTAGCTATAGATACTGCAACATTTATGAATGTCACTCCAGTCTACAGATGAATGTAACACTTCACAAGATGATAGAGACAACACTATACCTAATCTGCTCATGAGATCCACCAGAGGTGGCATTCGAGATAGCCCATGCAGCTTCTTTCTTGATGTCAAATTCAGCATGTTGAAGAAGGTGCACCAAAGGAAGAATGATATTGGCCTCAATAACAGCCTATTCCAAAGAAATTCATAGAAGATATGATTCTTCCTTTTCAACCAATAGATCCCACCACTAGCCATTCTAATGTTATTTATGATCATGTGCATTCTGTTAACAGATGGCAATACTGAGCTACGTGAAAAAAGTAGAAGGTGCAGGCAGCCACATACCTGTATTTGAGCTCTATTTCCAGCAGTGATGTTAGAGATCGTCCAACAAGCTTCTTTTTTTATGCTTTTCTTATGATTTTGAGTAAGAAGTTGGTAGAGACAGGGAAGAACTTGGTTGTCAATCACAAACTGATACCAATGAAACAAGTAACTGTCTCATCATTTAGAAATAAAACTAAAAACAAATATGATGATGTGCTTTACTGCAAAATGATTCACTCCACACGTTGTAATTGACACTTTTGGCCATGAGCAATCATCTCAAGTTTCTTTAATGGCCAATTAATTAGATTATGTGAAGCACAACTTTTAGAACTTAAATCAATGGTTCCTAGACAATTGTACCGAAATACACAAGAACTGTGAAATTCGGGAGCTGCATTGCATGGTACATGACTGTTGGTTGCATGAATGAATGCTATCTTCTAAACTTCACCATATGAAAGATCCCAGAAAAGAATGAGACACAGTGAGAACAGTGACTCCCCTTGTAAGTTTCTCTAAGCTTGCCCAACAACAAAATACATCTTTCAAATGGATCGACGGAAATGTCTCTATGCTGAACTTCATTAACGATCGGGGAAAAAAATCCTTAACATTTTCTCCAACGCTGACAGATCCCCTAGATTATGACATTAATACATAAATTACATACTAAGATAAGATTCTATAGGCATGGTGCTTGTGGTTCTAATTTTCGATAAAGAGTAATTAGCACATAGATGGTAATGAGACAAATCATGTACAACGTGTTAATATACCTGTGTCTGAGCATCATCACCAGTTACAATGTTCCCCACAGTCCGAAGAGCAGGCACAGTAACAGTAGGCGATGGATGACTTCATTAAAAACAAGATTCTGTTAGCAACAGAAGTTTGATAATTTTCAATGTAGTATTNCAGATCCTTGTATGGAAAAGAACATACAGCAGAAGCTCCACAAGTCGTGTACAGACACCTGCCTCGACGACAGCCTGAATTTTATCATTTGTTCCATCAGAAAGATATGAAAGGGCCCAGCAAGCATCAGTCAAAACCTCTTCATCATTCAAATGGATAAGTTGCCGAAGAACTGGCAACGCAGGTTTCACCTGACCAAATGTCCAGGAAGCAACAAAATGGTAATTATCTGATATTACGATCGCATGGAGTTCTAAATATAGCATATTTAGCATTAAAAAGCCTACAGCATATCAATTGCTAAATAATTAAAAGCAGTATATCATATTATATGAGAATGCCACACCTGCTCAAAAGGTGTTGGTGGCTTCCCACGACAGAAATTAGACAAGGTCCATGTAGCATTTCTGAGCATGGAAAGCTTTGAATTATCATTTAACTGAGCCAGCAATGGCATAAGTGCACCGTGCCCAAGGACAAGATCCCTACAACTTGGAGAATCACCAGCTACATTACCTAGAGCCCAGACTGCCTGCTTAACAGAAAGCAGTTAATGCATAACATTGGCAGCGACAAACAACTACTAAGGAACAACAAAGATAAGTTTAGGTGTTGTATTTATTTGGAACTTCAAGCATTTAACAGAGACACCATTATACGTTAGAAGGATTCTAGGGATTGCAATGCCACAAAAGGGGACCAAGAATGTAACGTCCCGAAATTTTACTACTAGTTGTTAGATTAAAATTTAGGACTTAAGTGCGCAATTATTAGTGTCTAATGACCTTATTAGTTATTGGCCAATAGTTTCAGGACCTAAGTGGAGAGTATTTTGGAAGTTAGATGAAATCATGCGTAAAACATATGTAAATATGCCAATTGGTCTTGATTAAAGATGATTTATTGACCCACATGCATTATTCACACCACATTTCAAGCCAATTTAATTGGTTTGACCATGTAAATAAAGGCAATTGATTTAACCACATGCATTATTTACACAAAGTTTGAAGCCAAGTCAATTGATTTGACCGCATGATTAAAGGTATTGATTTGATCATTTTCATGACAATACACCATTTATGCATTAACCATGCCTAATATCTAACCATTTCGTGTCACTTTTCTACCCATGGTCCAAGAATTTACACTATCGGTAGGAGACAAACCAAACACTAGACTACCCCTCACCAACTATTTACACAGTTTCCCTCTCTAACTCTATCACTTTGTCTCTCCGCCTTTCTCTTTCTCTTGTCCTTATAATATTAAATATAGTCATACACGTACACAATAACACATGAATACTCAACCCCACACGCGGCTCAAGGATCTCTCTCCATCAATCACCCCTTCTATTTTTTTAATTGTCCAGTGAAAGGTAAGTTGTGTTTTATGTTTATGGTGGTTAATATTTATATATGTCATATTTCTACGACTATATTTTATGTTTTGGCCCATATTACGTATGTTCTATTCAAAATGGACCGGAGTTTAGTAGCACTATGCACGAGAATTTAGTACCACCTAAGTTCGGTCTAATTTTCATGGAGCTATGCAAGTTATGAATTTTCCGTCAAAATACATATATGAATTCATTATCCACGCACACTTATTGAGAATTATTCACACCCCTTTATGTCTCTATTTTCAGATAATTGTTGATTCGAGGCAATCGGCACGGAGATGGCTTTTGGAGGCAAAAGTTTCATCCGATAAAATTATTACGTTGTCTAATTGTTTGTATTTCATTTGATTTTAAATATTTTAAGATATTTCTCATTTCAAGTTAATTTATTAAACTCATTACATTATTTCAATTTTGATAAGTGCTTTAGTAATTTATATAATTGTGTCAAATATTCTTTAAATTAGTTTTAGTTTTATGATTTAGTGGCACTAAGATCGTTTAGAGTTCGAGTCGTCACAAAAAAAACTACCTGTTCACGGACATCATCACTGGCAGAACTAAGAAGTTGCACAAATTTAGGAACAGCACCATGTTCAATGACAACTTGAGTATGTTCTGATGTCCCAGATGCAACATTTGTCAGAGCCCATGCTGCTTCGAACTACAAAGAAGAAGACGAGGCCTTACAATCAATTTGTCTATGCAAGACATACTGCAGAAAATATAAAAAGAAAAATCCACATGTAGAACTAACTTGCAGCTGAGGCACATCATTCCTTCCAAGAAACTCCACAAACTGAGGAACTACACCAACTTTAATCACCTCATCAATTGGAGGGCTTCGCTCTAAAGCATGGAGGTTCCACATAAAATTTCATTAAGGGGTATATCCCAGAAATGCAAGAAATGCTAATCTTTTGGAAACAATAATACCGATTGATAGAAGTTTTCTAAATTGAGTAGTTGCCTCCACTTGAGCACTAGGATCATTGGACCACACTCCTTGTACCATCAAAGGAATACTTTCTAACTGTCAAAACCAGAAAGTGAAGTAGAAGTTCATGATACTTACTCTACAGCATAAGAGGAGACAGTACAAAAATCTGGCATGAGACCAAACTCGTGCATTAAACCCAGATAGTTCTCTTGGTTGATAAAAAGGATTAAATGAAAGACACTAAGAAGATACCATATATTGCTACAATTAAGAACCGAATCCAAGCAGCCGATACATATTACTGGCATGTTAAAATATATGGTGCAATATTCTAATTCTAATTCAAAACCCTAAATCCAAGCAGTCGCGTGAATTTACCAGCTTGGCGTTCATATTCGCCTTAGATTAACATGCAGCTTGGGGAAAGTATTGACCTGATTAGGGTAAAATATCCGCCTTTAAGGATAAAATTGTCAGAGTCAATCCAATAAACATATGCCACCGATAACTCTACTGTGAGCATTACAAGATCTGACATAAAAAATAGGATACATGATGGAAATCAAAACTCAGTACCAGCACTTATAAGGAATAAGAACAATTTTTGGACAAAAAGGAAAGATTTAGAATGAATTTAATCAAATGACCACTGGAGAGACAGAGATAAAAGTCAATAACCATATCAAGGATCAATATTAATGGTGTTTTCACATTGCAAATAGCAGATCACCTTATCATTGCTCTTCCAACCAATCATATTAATCTTTGAATGCCCCCAACAGATCAGGTTAATCCTATTTCCAATAAAAGCCTCAATGCTGGGAGCATTGTTGAACAAAAAATGTACCTCATCATTATAAAGTACACAATTGGAACATGGACAAAACTAATAAAACTTCAATTATGCAGATCAAAATTTCATGGAGAGAAAAATATTATTATGTTGTCACCCTTAGTCATTCCCAGCGGTGCATTAGCAATTTGAAAAACTTAAAATAATTGTCAACAAATTAAACCTAACCAAGCATGTGAAGTTCATTATTCAAAATAGAAAGATCAAATTCTACAGTAGAAAAGTATAAAAACCTAACTGTTAATGAAAATCATTCCTTGACCATAATACCACCAAGATAAAGTTTTGAACCCAAGAGCAACCCCGTTGGGAGTAAATATAGCTCTGACGACAAGAAACCAATCATCACATTTGACTCGTTGTAATTTCCCAAACACAACTCTTCCCGCCAAATCTAGCCACTCACCTCCCTCGTGATAATTGTGATTTTAGGAAATGGAGGTAAAGCACAATAATTTTTTTTTTCTTGATCAAAACCCATAAATCTAAAGCATATATACATACTGAAAGTTCATCTCTGACTATTTACCCAAGAAAAGGGAAGGAAAAATTTTCCCTTTTCCAACATTATTGGAACAAAGCATCTTAATCCATAATAAGAAGTGTCTATTGAAAATCTAAAAATAAGGCACTTCATTTAGACATCCCTCAAAGCATAGATCGCACTTCTCTTCTCCAAAAATCCATACATCTAACTCTACCTACTAAAAACTTTGAATTACAGTAAAATACATTAAATAAACCCCTTTTACCCTCATTCAATTGATCTCACACAGCCCAACTTCACAAAATCTAGAATTGAAATCAAAACCATTTCACCACCAACTCTATATCCCATTGATCCCATTGCACTTGTAAAAACCAATACAGATCACAAAGTAGCAACACAGAATATCATAAATTAATTACTATAACCATCGAAATAATAAGTAAAAGTGGTAGCAGTCTACCATCATTACCTTTTTCTCCACAACAGCAGGGGATTGGGAGGGATCGAGAGGGAAGTGTTGCTGAAGTTGCTGGAAGTTGTTGTTCAATAGTCCCTCTCTTCGCTTCTTGAGAAGATTGTCCTCACGTTTGTTCTTCCTGATCTCAACCATGTTGTCCTCTCTCCTCCGGCGCGCCTCCTCCGCATCCACCCCGATTTTATACCCCTTCTTCCGTACATCCGCCCTGTTGCTCGGCCGCAGCGACATTTTCGTAAAAAACCAACTCCGATTTCACTCCCCGTGATCACTCTGTCCTGGGTTCACGCAACCTGCTTGATGAATTGTCGCACGTAGAGTGATGAAGAAATAAAGTGAAAACAGGGAGATCGCGAGACGGGATCGGGGTGACGAATATTGATGTCGTGTGGGGTCGAAGGGGCCGACAGGGCCTGTCGATGGGCTGGCTCTGGGCCCAACTTCGTCCATCCTATCCACTTTGCGGACCTCGTACCTCGGAGTCTCGGACCAACAGAACTATCTCGGACCATGTTTGGTTAAGTTCCTTGGCCCCTCTTTTGTCTTATTAAATTTTAATTCATTTTTCTCATTCAAACATTCTCTTAATAAAATAATATTATTTATAAATTCAATAATTATTCATACTTTTTAACCACACATTCTTCAAAAAAATCATTTCAAAATTAATTTTTTTAAAATAATGGACCTCAAACAAGGGCTTATTTTGTTAACTTCACGAATTGTCGCTCTACTTTTATTTAGATCTCTGTACTTCAATTATTTACCATACTTTGATTTACTTCGTCTAATTCGAGTGTTCGCTTGTCTGTGGTTGTTGAAACTTAAAAATATGACATGTAGGGACCTAATTAATAAAATTGAAACATGGTGATCTGATTGAAATTTCAGTGAAATTACATAGAAAGACACATAATGAAATTAAACTTTTATATGTAATTTAGAATTAATATATTTTAATAATATATACCAAACGTGTGCTAAAGTATTAAAATTTAACTGAGCGTATGTTTGACAAGTATTAAGAGTCAAATAACTTTTTTATCCACATATTTTGTGAAATTCACGAATATTACCCATTTATCAATCATTTTTATCTATTTTAATAACACTTGCCAAATCTATGCTAAGATTTTAACATTGAGGGGTTGCTCAATTGATTAAATCTTGAATTTGCTCCTCAATGATTATCAGTTCGAATCTCCTCAAGTCATTGAGGTTAGTACCTAACCGTAAATTTCAGGCCCACGGGAGATTAGTCGAGATGCCGCAAGCTAGCCAGGACATCAACGGTTATTAAAAAAAAAAATCTATGCTAAGATTTAGAGAATGACGAGGCTTGTGAGAGTGGGGACAACAACAAGGTTAGAACATCATTCTCCGTCTCCACGTGATTTTTGAAGGGGTGGAAACACCCTATTTATTTTTTTAATATTATTTATTTTTGGTATATGATTTAAATTTTAAAATATAAAATAAAAATGTCAAAATGGGATAGGGACGTGCAAAAATATTTTGAGTTAAAAAATGGGGGTAGGGTGTAATTTGACTTGGGTTGGCTTCATGAAAAGTTCATAAATCAGGGACCTTAAACCCTAAACACTTGTGACTACGTTCAAAGATTTCATAAATCTAACTTCTTGTATAAATTGCATTTTTCACTGTCTGACTGCACACAATCTTACGATATACAGCAAAAGAAAACGTGCAGGAAGTTGAAGAATTATGCATATTCTTCGAAGAAATTTATTTAGGAGAATCCCTTCCAAGTTCTTCAATCAAGTTCGTAATTTTCCCTCGTTTCTATTCATTTCGAGCTAAAAAAGTTTCTTTTATGATTATCGAGTGTCGAAATAAAATATGATTACCTGTTTGATGCCTCTTTAAGTAGTTTGTGGATACTTGTTGCTTGGTGGTATAAATAGTTTGTCTTAGTCCGGAAACTGAATAATGGAAACTGAATTTGGTTTATAAATAAGAATTTTGAGCTGTTTCACTGCATATGTGGAAGCTTTACTTTTAAATGTCTACAGAAGATGATGAATTTTATTTCTAGTTTTTCAAATATGAATTTATTTTTACTGTTCTTCATGAAAGCACTTGGAATTATGCCATATAAATTTCTGTTATTGCTCTTCAATAAGCTATACACAAGTTCGAAATGAATTGATTGCGTTTGTACATTGATAAAATGGAGTAGTTTTTTGAGATTGTTCCTTCTACTTGATTTACTTACTTTTCCAAATCAACCAAAAAATTAGCAATATCCCTATTTGTCGCAGTACTTAGCATATCGCTAAAAAGTTTGAATTTTGGCGCAAAATTTTTCAATTTTCTTTTGTATATAGTTGCTTTACTTTGATGTTGGTTCACCATTGATTGGATTGGATCCTTAGGTAGTCAAGTCTTGTGCATTTTCAACTAGCACATTTCGTGATGTAGGACAACCAACAGCAGCCACTCACCCTCAGGTGCTTCCATTCATCTCTTTTATTTGCCCTCACAGCCTTCAACTTCTGATGAGATGCATTGAACTTGTTTTCACCATATAAAAATTTTAATTTTTGCAATTACTATTTATGATGTAGCTATTGAAAGAAGGCGAGATTACGCCTGGCATAACTAGTGATGAATATGTCTCTAGACGGAATAAATTATTGGAACTTCTTCCAGAAAAGAGTTTGGCTATAATTGCATCTGCCCCTGTAAAGATGATGACTGATGTTGTGCCATACACGTTTCGGCAAGATGCTGACTATTTATACATCACTGGCTGCCAACAACCAGGTGGCATTGCAGTTTTAGGTCATGAATGTGGGTTATGCATGTTCATGCCACAACCAAGTCCCGAGGTAAGCCAAAATTTGTCATCTCATTATCCTGTTGATTTTGTATATTGCTTTCTTTTTCCATTATTCTTTCTTTTTTCGGTTCCGTGCAAGTTAATGCATCAAGTCGTCAACCACGTGAATACAGAATTACATGGGGACATCTCAAGGCAACATCACACTAAAACCGCTAAAAATAAAAACACAATCCTATTGCCCTTACAACTTTTCTTAAGTGGACAGTATTTGCTAATTTCTACACAGCTGACAACATTATACATCATACATAAATGCCTAACTGTAGAGTTTTGAATTAGGTCCTTAAGAGTATTGAAAAGTCTCCCATGACTCTTGAATATCTAAGCTTGTGTTCCCAGCAGTAGCTTCTGATTTGATTTAATGTAATATAAATTATATGTTACTATTTCTTAGTTTTGAATGAAGCAGCTTTCTTTTATGTGTTCTAAGTATGGTTATGGTATGACACATACCAGAATTTACACAGTACCCACAACTAATAGTTCAATAAATATATTTCAGGATGTTATTTGGCAAGGTGAGATTGCTGGAGTTGATGCAGCTCTAGGCACATTCAAGGCTGATAAAGCATACCCAATGAATACATTAAATAAGGTGAATGGATATCTTCCTTAAAGTAAAGCTTACTATCATGGAGTTGCAACTAAAAATCTCTTCATATTCGAAAGCATATAAATTGCAAATAATGTGATATAATTTTTTGTATAAACATGTCATGATGTTCTAGCCGAATCATATTCAATTATATTTCACTAAACTTTTACTTAGCATGATCAATTATAACAAGGCATATGGACATATAAAAGTAGCAAGTTGACATTAAGTCTACATGATCAATTAAACTAGGATTAATTTTTTTGTTTGATATTGCTAATCACAAAATGTTATTCAAAGAAATCCGTTATCGATAACTTTCTCTGCATATGAAGCCATGATCAGGATCATAGTGGCCAATGGTTAAATGCGCTAAAGGGATACCCCATGAATGCTGATTTTTTCATAAATTCCTTATGAATTGACAACCATATGAGGGTATTATATGGAGTAAAATCATAGAGGCAACAGTCAGAAGACAAAAACTTTGTTTATTGCAGTTTCACACTGTTTCTGTTAGAGGTCAAGGCTCTGCAATTGCTTGGCTCCATACTATTATTCATGCATACCTTAAACTCAGTGGTTTAAGTTGGACTTGCTGATGAAAGCTCTTTCCGCTTTATACATTATTTTTCAAGTTTTTTCTGTTCAAAAATTATGGTCAGATTCTCCCAAGGATGATAGAAAGCTCCTCCCTGCTGTTTCATAATGTGAAGACAGCAAGTTCCAGTTATGTGGGTTTGGAGGCCTTTCAAAAGGCATCTTACAATGGTAAAGTGAAAGATTTCTCAGTGCATACTCACGAAGCACGATGGGTGAAATCACCAGCAGAACTTAATTTGATGAGAAATTCTGCATCTATAGCTTGTCAGGTATGTGCTTTTATGGTGCATGTTAGATTTGTTGCTAGTTTCTCAACATTGAATTACAGCTTGTGACTACTTCATTGTTCTCACAATGTAAAACGAGGCTATGCAATTTCAAGGGTACACTAGCACTTAATCGTTACATTTTATGATGAAAGTCAGATTCACATGAAACTGTAACATTATTTTACTTATAAATATATTTTGCAACAAAAATGACGACAAACTAAGCCTTATTCAACTTAATTAGAGCCAGCTGACGAGTTAAAATATTCTTGTCTAAAATACTTGACAAGAGAACAATGGGGATAAAATCAGATACTCAGATAAAATATTTTTGTAACATTTGCAACTGTTTATATCAATCTCGAAGGTAATGTCAATGGACATTGATCAATAAATTTTGCGTTTTTTGCATTTTACCCGCAAAGTGGTATGCATGTAGGTCGTGATGTGCCTAGGGATGGCCGTCTCCTGTCCCCCTGCCGGAACTCCCAATTCTCTAGCAAATACAGCTCTTTTGATCATTTCTTCGCTTGTACCCGCAGTAGCATTCAAGTAATGCCCTTTGATTTCACCTGTTTCAGCCATATTTAATCTTTTTTTGGTTCCAATTAATGCTTCAATAGGTTTCCTAATTTCATAATTAAACATGGAGGCATCAAATTTTCTATTTATTAATTAATGCATGAAGGACCCAGAAAGACAACTATTGATTTGCATGCGTATGTAGATGGTATTGCAGGGTTGAAAATTGAGAACCCTTTACACACACACACAGAGAGTATATCAATCTAATATACAATTTGTGGAGGAAGAAGATAATGATTTGCTGCGTCTTATTATGCAATTGAAGCTTCACTGAAGGTCATGGAAGAATATCAAATAATGTATGTAGTACTGA